TCTGTTGGAACGTGGACAACGAAGCCAAGATCGAACCACCAATCCAAACCGAGTATTTACGCTCCGGTGGGGCAACGATCTTGATCTTCATCGTACTCGGAGCCAACGCAGTGATCTCCTTCTGCATACGATCCGCAATACCAGGGAACATGGTCGTACCACCAGACAGCACGGTGTTCGCGTACAAATCCTTGCGGATATCCACATCGCACTTCATGATCGAGTTGAACGTGCTCTCATGGATACCGGCAGATTCCATACCCAAGAAGCTCGGTTGGAACAGAGCCTCGGGACAACGGAACCGCTCGTTACCAATCGTGATCACCTACCCATCAGGCAGTTCGTAGCTCTTCTCCAGTGAGGAGCTCGATGCCGCGGTCGCCATCTCCTGCTCGAAGTCCAGAGCCACTAGCACAACTTTCTCCTTGATATCACGCACGATTTCTCGCTCGGCCGTTGTCGTGAAACTGTAACCACGCTCGGTCAGGATTTTCATCAGGTAGTCAGTCAGATCACGACCAGCCAGATCGAGACGGAGGATGGCGTGAGGAAGCGCGTAACCCTCATAGATTGGGACTGCGTGTGTGACACCGTCACCAGAGTCCAGCACGATACCGGTCGTACGACCCGACGCGTACAGGGACAGCACAGCCTGGATGCCCACATACATGGCTGGTGAGTTGAATGTTTCGAACATGATCTGTGTCATCTTCTCTCGGTTGGCCTTCGGATTCAACGGGGCTTCGGTGAGCAGAACGGGGTGTTCCTCGGGCGCGACTCGCAACTCATTGTAGAAAGTGTGATGCCAGATCTTCTCCATATCATCCCAGTTGGTCACGATGCCGTGTTCGATTGGGTATTTGAGGGTGAGGATACCTCGTTTGGACTGGGCTTCATCACCAACGTAGCTATCCTTTTGTCCCATACCGACCATCACACCCTAGGATGGGAAGTTATGTGGTTAAAAGACGTTGGTATAATACATATGCACAGTGTTATAGGAATATGATAGTAAAATATGCAGGTGCTGAATAAGCTTTTCCTATGAAATGAATGTGACTTACTTGGTGACGTGGACGTCCAACAATTGAGGGGAAGACAGCACGAGGCGCATCGTCACCAGCGAAACCAGCTTTGCACATTCCCGAACCATTGTCCACAACCAGGGCCTGAACTTCTTCGTCCGCCATTTGTCAGTTTTATCCCTGTCCGATTCGGTTGTTTTGTGCGCGAAACGAAAGCGACTGTGAGTGTTTTGGTACGTGCACAAGCTACAATTTATACTGCCTTGATTGTTCCCATATATGGTGTTTCACCACATCCGGCCTCCTATTGGTCCTTGGTCAGGTTTGCCACATTCTCCAGCTTTGGCAAGCCTACCTAACAGGAGGTAGGCCAAAATTAGTCTTGTGTGCATTTGGGCCGGTTCGATGATTCGTTGATTGGACATTGCCACCGGCACACCCATCCCCATTTTCGACGTCTGTTCCAGGCCCGACGGCTGTTCCCATCCCAATGGACAAACTGGTGGTTGGTTGGTTGTGTTGATGTGCACTGAACCAGGTGTGTACCGTGGTTTGACTCAGATGCCCCAAGCTTAGCATTTTTGGCCAGGCGTTTTTTCACCATTGTTCCAATAGCACCTTGACGAACAGAACACTGACTGTTCGGCTCTCGTTACGAACCGGTGGAAATCCTAGCACGTCTGATAATGGGTCAATTACAGTCATACCATTTCAGTTAGTTGAATAAATGGAGTTTGTCAAGTATATTACGGTACAAAAGGTCGCTTTTAGGGAAAGGGTTCCTCTCATTATCAGAGCTGAAATTTGTGTCCCGAGTGGGGGTTACGTAGGTAGTAGAACTGTTTGCCATCGACACTAGTGGTCCAGTCCAACATCATCGTGCGAACAGCACGAATTTTCCGTTTCAAAAGAGCTTGGTAAACAATCGGTAGTTTTTATTTGAGCAACGTTTCGCTTTTGACACAAAAGCTTCATCAGGCCAAGTGAGCAGGTCACCAAATCGGCCAAGTTATAAGACAGACGGGCAACCAATCAGTAAGTCCTCTTCAGATTATCACACTAGATCGGTGTTGAGTGTCGATTAACGGCTCTTGTCGGTTAGTGTGATTGTCAAAATCTTGCATTGATAAAATTGGGGAAGTTTCAGGTTTGGTTCCTTAATCTTCCACTTCAGTGTGCTTCAACTGATGATCCACCGTGGTCGCCGCTGATAGATTTATTTAATCTTCGTGGGCTTGTGAGTGCTGCGACAATTTAGTTGGGGGGAGATGAGGTCAAGTGGAGTTCAGATGATGACTACACCTTCTGATGACCGCACACCAACACCTGTCAGCCTGACTGATCCAAAACCATCTTCCACACGCTTGCCAGTTCTGTTAACACTGGGATGCTTGGCGATTTCTACCGCCTCGTCTATCAGTCTGTGTGATGTGAACCGTGATGTGGACCGTAGTCCTCGCCTCAAAACTTCAACATTTACTAAATCTATTCTTTGTCCAATGTCGAGTGCGTGCCCCGCAATTGCCGAGTCTTTTAGTAACGCTTGATTGATACTCACCTGCGTTTCTCGGCGGTCTGTTTGTTTTTCTACTATGCTCTCCGACTCTGATGTGTAGTTCCCTGGCCGTCTGTCCTATGGAGGCCTTGGTACAGTCATTACACGTGATTTTGGAGTGACAGTCCCTGGTCCTGTTTGCCGGGAGGCAATCCTTCAATTTCACCAATGAAGAGTGTCCCTCCTCTGGAAAGCTGCTCTTCTGTTAGCCGTGTTTAGAATTCTTCGAATTTTGAGATGAAGATTACAGGTAACCGTTGGCATTGGAGTAACTTACTCGACCTTGCAATCTAACAGTGCAATCACTCATCAATCGAAACACCAGACAGAATACCCTATGAAGCACATGAGTGAGAAAACTGGGTTGGATAACCACAGAATGGACTCTGTTTCAAAAAAATGCTGCAACCGTAGGCTTGACGAGGGTGATCATAGCTTTCTCGGCTATTTTAAAGTCTTTCCTGTTGACGGATCTCTTTCATGTCGTCCTCATCTGATGGTGTGGTTTGTGTGTCATTACAAGCCCTTAAAAGATGAGATACCTTCAATTTCTAAGCTGTCCAACATTGGTTAGCTACTTGACTGCTCCACACGCCTGTGAATTGCAGTCGTACAACAACCATGGACCACTTGATTTGCAGATAGTACTAAATACTACAGAAATACACTGTGATCTTAGGGCTATAACCTGCACACTTGTGTAGGTGGTGGCTTGTGCTCTCTGGCAGGTTTTGCACTACTTTCGGTTGGGATTTTGTGACTCCCATGTGGCGGTCATGTCACAAGGTCATTTGGATTAAGCAGCAAATCATTGTACTATCTCTGAATGGGCAGACGTGGTGTAAACACACACACACACACACACGAGCACACACCCATTCTCACATGGAGAATATCCACGCGTGCCAAAACTGAGGGAACTGACGATGACGCGAACTGTGTGCAACCTAACCATTCAGCTCCGTGAACAAGTGTGTCTCGGAGTCTGACTGTGTTCGGTGCCACGCGTAGAGATTGAGATCCTGTCAGCCACCATTTCTTGGCCTATTCGCTCCGTCTCGATCCCGTCGGTTCTGGCGAACGTGCCACGACTAACAACTAGGTAACAAGACTCTTTTACAGCCGGTCACCATAACGATAGGGCTGTCGCAGATGGTGGAAAGACCAGCTCAAAATAGCCCTCATACCAAATCTTTTTCAGAACACAGTAAAAGTGTTTACCTCTTCTTCTCTACCGGAGAATGAGTAAATACATTTGCGTAAATTTGTAACGAAGTCTTCAGATCACAACATCATCATTCGGTTGCACATTTTCGTTGTTCACACCGGAATCTTTTCTCTTTCTCTGCTCCCCCTCTCTCTCGATAGTTGTTGTTTCGCTTCAGTCCCCTGGTTAGAGCTGATCCCATTGAGCATACCTGTTGGACAATGAAGTTTACTATAATCGTCCGTTGAATATGATTCGGTGTCCTGCATAACACTCGAATAGCGACGATTCCCGTGCAAGTCCTAAAACGATGTACTTTGGCTCGACTTTTGAACGATATATATATATAACGAACCCCCGGCTGGCTTCTTTAGGTTAGGCCTTCTAGATTCGAACATGTGGGCAGAACAATCAAGAAGCCCAGAATGCAGGTCAGCATTTTACTAGCGCCGAAACAAACCAGGCGTAGTTAGTGATGGTTGACCAGGTGGCTGTTGATCTGATCGCCAAGCCTGATGGCCAGCTCGAAAACGTTTCTTCTCCGGTCAAGGGGGTATCGTCAGAGCGCAGTGCACTGGGCCAACTGCACACTAATGATGTCCCCTCGATTGGGGACGGAACGTTTGAAAGCTAATTGTCAAGCTCGGCGAACAGATCAGTGGACACCCGATCAAGCACCAGTGAGAATGAACGAGCTACAAATATTTCGGTATGCTGACTGGCAAAAGTAGTCCTGACCATTCAGACTAGTTGTTCATGTGTCATGAAATTTTACACAATGAGACGAAATATTCAAGATGCAAATAAGCCAGATCAACTAGATTTTGACGGGATAAACTTTTGTAAGCTCTAAAAGTAACACACTACTCCCAAGGTTGCTGAAAACTTTTCCACTGTTCGAAGCGGACTATCATAAAGGAGAGATTCAAATATATTCAGTTAAATGTCCTCTCAAAACTCAATTAAGGTACAAATTAGACTGTTTGTCGAAATTTTTGTAACCTTGGGAGTTCTGGGCCGAAATCCGCTCGAAAGTCGCCAAAAAGATTGAGCGCCATGTGGAATTTTTAAAGTCAAAACAGAGTAGTGCATTGAGTTGTTGTAATCCGAAGTTCCGGTTGCCGTGGGCGACGTTTTTCGAGGATTTTTACAGTCAATTGATTAAGAGTCGAATGCAGCGACACTAGGAGCCACTATCGTGTCTTCTGATTGGTGTATTCCTGTGATCGGCCGGCACTCGGTTGGGACCAGCGTGCGTGGGTGTGTGTGTTAGCTCTGCACACGTGGACGCGTGATTGCGTGTGTACTTTGATTAAGAATACAATACAATACAATACAAGAATACACCAATCAGAAGACAGAATAATGGACCCAAATGTCGATGCATTTAACCCGTATTCAAGTGATTGTAGAAATCCTTGAAAAAGGTTTCTCACGGCAACTGAGACGTCGGGTTACAACAACTTATTCCACTACACTGTGTTTCGACTTGTATAATATATATATATATATATATTCCATATTTTATAATATTGAGAATAATAGTCGGGCCACCGCGAGTAGTCATACTCAACATCTGTGACTCGAGGCACGAGGGTTCATCAGCCCTTCACGTGCTCATGTTCACTAATGACGTGGTTTTGAGCGATAGTCTGCATTTCACTTTTAAACAATTCAGTTTTGTTCTTTTTCCGGTCAACGAAATACACTCATTTGCATACCACTTTGGTTATGACAAGAGACTCACAAGGGACCCAGCTGAATCTCTTGTTTATGATGTTTTTAAGCGATTGGATGTGCTGCACCAGGCCGCCTCATGTTTCAGACGGCATGTTGTTCGAGATATCGCCATACATGTATAGACGTAATATTCTACTCATAAGGCTGCTGGAACTTGCGCCCACCTGATGGGTCTCAAGAAGAGCAAAACCGGTCGTGAACTATCGAAGAGTATTTAGCGACCCTGTAAGAAGTGTATTATGTTATATTGGATTCTTTTTATTCAGTTAGCACAGAAATTCTGGACAAGCGTGTTACCATCCCCCCTCAGTGCATGCTCGAGTTTCGTTCTTGTCAGGAGGGAACATCAGCCGTGCTGGAACTGGAAGTTCAGACATGTGGCAAATCAAGTTTGATGGCGCAGTTGTGCCAGCATTACTCTGTAGGACGCAAGTGAATTTTCATGTCTGAGCACGCGGACAGGATCACGGTAGATTGATGTGCTTAGTTTTCCGTGCGCTGGTGGAGTAGTGGTACTACCCTCGTCTCACATGTCAGACGTCCAAAGTTCAAGCCCCGGCAGGTCCACTACTGATGACCTCTAATAAGAGCGAAACTCGAGTCTAGTGCTTCCGCTCTTTGGTGTGGACCCAGCAGAATTCTTTCGCCAGGACGACTTTTCAAGCGACAGTTGTGTGAGTATGAAGCCTACGAACCCCGCAACCAGCTA